CGTCGCTACCCCCTAAATCAAGTTGAAACCCTTTGAGTCAGCAACATTTCCCCCTCAAAATACAGGAAATGGCGTTTCAGGAGGGTCTAAATTTCAGATCTCGCCCCTCATGCAAAAGTTCGTGCCGCCGCCTCAACTCAAGAACCGTGGCGTAAGACATATAACTACTAGTAACAAACAATACCTCACGTGAACTCTGACCTTGTGGTCAGGGGTGATCAGAAATACATGTATAAAGAAAACTCTGCAAGCGAGCAAACATGGCGTCCCAGGGGGCGACGAATATTTGGATCGTGTTAAAAAGCAATAATTCACAATGAATCGTACACACCGCTGAAAATAGTCATATTTGTTGTCAATAAATAATCGCTTGAACACAGTATTGTCCACGTTTTAACTGTCGAGTCAACAAACATTACGGCCTGTGAGTGATGTGAAATGAAGTATGTTTGGTGGATTTATTGTTACAGTGCAATGTCAATACAATAACTGACGTCATAGAATCAATCAATCAGTCGAAATCCAAAACTAAGCTCTGTTCGAAGACGCTAAGAGTTATTTCACACTGCGGGCCTTCTCGGGTATGTATGTCATCATTCTATTTCTGAATACTTGACTTCGGTGACTTGACGTAAAATTGGCGAATCACGGAAAACAAACCCCAACTAGTGCTTTAAAGGGCGGCAGTCGTCGTGCTGCGTCCTGTTCGATATGGGACTCATAGCGACGTATACAACGCGTGTAAAATACATTGTTTATTTGCATGAAATTCGAACACGCGTGCAAGGCAGAAGACGCAAACGGACGCAGAGATCTCGTCGAGGGCGAGAGTTCAGCGAACCTTTTTTATTTGCTTCACGTTTTACTCTCTCCCGTTATCGCGTTCCCACGAACTCTGTTACCATGGTATCATATGGTACAGTTGTCGCGAAGACAAATGAGAAGGGAACACTATTTCAGGGGAAAACAAGTGTCGTAGCCTTCTCGCTTTCAGCGAGATCTTGGAGGTCATCGATCATTTCCAACGGAAGTCTTTTCGATGATTCGAGTTACTTTGCGTATTCATCAACAGTTCAAACAGGAAAAACAACTGTGACATGGCCGAACTAACTAAAGTTCAGTGTCCCCTGTCCCCGTAAGTTAAAAGTTTAAATGACTAATTTCAAAAAGCTGTATTTCATTACTACTATCCTCACCAATTACAATCTGAATCTAAGAAGTGATCTGATCTGGTCACAAGATGGAAATCACACAGTTACTTTAAACACGCGTACGCCACCAAATAAGACACGCACCAAATCGCCTAGCTACGTCACTTAAAGGGCGGTAGTCGTCGCGCCGCGTCCTGTTCGATATGGGACTCATAGCGACGTATACAACGCGTGTAAAATACATTGTCTGTTGAAATGAAATTCGAGCACGCCTTTTAACTCTTACGTGGTCAGGACAATGAAAACCTTAATAGCGTTGGCAGGGTAGGGGTTGAGCGAAATCGCTCATTTCAAAAACATCTCCATGCGTATAAACAAAAAGCATCGTTTTTGTGGCCGCATTACAACCGTAAAACAAATACAGTATATTAGATGTTCTCGGTTATTTCGGTATATCGGACTTCTGGTATTTGACATTTAATTTATACAACATGGAACTGTCACGAAGAACAATGCAATTTATTTGCGGAGGTGGGAGAGGGCAGTATTTCGGGGTGGATGGATGGGTGGTTTGTTTGGAAAGCAAATATTTGAGAACAAAATATTTGAACATAATTTGGTGTGGATCTCGCCACCAGCCTCGCCAATAAAAAATGGCACGTTACTATGGAAACGGGAAGAGCATGACGCCCTAGTAGCCACCCCATTAAATATATTGGTTTATCCCTTGGAACTTACCGCATCTCGTTTTGGCTTGTCGTGTAGGAACTACGATAGAAGCCCGCCAAATCGTCTTCTAGAGCTCCTACGAATTTGGTGGTGAGTCTGTAAACGGTGTCCTTCTCCATGTCATCGACCGTCTCGATCACTAAAAACTGGTACTCTGTCTCCTCACGCGGAGATTTGATGGCCACTTCTTCCCCATTCTTGGTAAGACGAATATTACCCTCATCCATGATTTTATCCAATTTGTTAATGTGAATCTTGACAACGCTGGTAGGCTCGGTAAAATTGAACTCCGCGTAAGAATCGCCATCGAATTTAAATTTCTTTTCTCCGTCCTCGTCGTCCAAATACACTTTCAAGTGCACGAAATAGTGTTGCGGGACCACGTTCGTTTGTACTCTACCTGGCCAATTTGGTTCCACTCCAGGCGGCTTCGTCGACGGCGGCTCGTCGGTACCGGTGCCCGCTTCGGGGGTAGGCAGGGAGGAGTCCGCACAATTTCTGTCCGGTACGTAATAAGCCAACAAGCCTACGCCGATGCACAGTGCTACGACGGCGATTACGATGCAAAATATACCCATATTCCCGATGTACACACCAGACTTTTTATCGTCCTCGCGCTCCATTTCCATTTCTCGCAACATCTTGTTACGAATCGCGATTAGCCCGACTGGTAGCTCAGATTGGCGTAGTTTAACAAAAATCAAATCTGGTCAGTGCGAGCTTGGCAGCCTTGGTACAGCGGGGTGCGTTAAACGTCTTTGAATCTGAAGGCCAATGGAGCGTACACTTACGTAGAAGGCGTCCGATAGTCCACGATCCTCACCGCTGAATAACCACACCTCACCCGATTCTACCACTCCTAGCCAACATACGTATCTATCATCTTATCAAAAAAAATTTGCATATAATTTGCATAAACATGTACTATTACAAACGTACTTTTGCTTGACGTCTGACCCCCGACGTTGCCGTGTCCCTTCTTTCAGGGAAGTACCTGGGCGTGTGAAGGAGTTCGAGGACGCTTATCGTGTTGATTGAACTAATCGCAAATATACCAGCATGCATTGCGGCAGATCAGAATATCTGTTATTATTAGTGGAGGATGTGAAGGCTACGGCTGGTCACGTGACGCGACGTGAAAGTATTTAATTTATATGTATTGGCGGTGGCTGAATGGAATAACATCTCGCGGTACTTCTTATTGAGAAAATTTAATTTCCAGCCCACGCACGCAATGTAGGGCAGTTGACGTGACAGTTGATTACATTCCGATTTAGGTCAGATTTTGTTATACTAGTATTAAAAAAGCGGTGGTCATTGCGCGAATAGGCAGACACACGCCTTGTATAAGAACGTCGCATGAGACCCACATCGCGATGGCCACCGCGCGCCTTGTAATAAGGAAACAAACCAGTGGGTCATACGGCGCCGTTTACCGCACTGTCACTTCGGATTATCTCTTCTATCTCGATGAACGTGGTACACAGTACACAAGGAGGGGAGGAACTCTTTGCCAGCACCCTAGCTCCAGATCACCCCGGACGACAGACCGGGTAGGTCACTGAGGTCACGCTTGTTGTTTGTTTGCAGCCCTCCTTCAATAATGATACGATCATGTTACTATCACGTTATTGCGGTAGAAGCACTGCAACATGTTCTCTTTCTCTTTGCATGTTTATAGTGCACGTGACATGTTGTTCGATTACGTCAGTTACGCCGCAGGCTCGTTCGCAACGTCAACAGATCATGGTTATCGACATTTCTACGAAGACTCGGAGACTATACATTTCACAGTATCCTAAGTCGAACGTTTACATGGCAACACTTATTAAATGGATACTTCAGTATGTTTTAGTCTTATCTCATAACAGCCAATTGCGATCAAAGACGACAAAATGGCAGAAAATTATGACGTTTTTGTTCAAAAATACAATGCGACACAGAAACCTACAAAAGGTCTATTCGTTGTAGTGTCAGGCGAGGGCGCGTTCCATGGTTACAGCAGACGAAAATCACAAGTACTTTTTTTTATATTTGGGATATCATTCTATCATTGTTTTTTATTGAAACGTTAGCCCAGTGGGTAAATCTACTAAGGAATAGCCCCGAAACAAGTTACCTACTTCGTGCTTGGTCTGAATATGGTAGTGTGAACATGGCTAGCGCGTCGGCGGTGCGTCTCGTAGCAGGTTGAAACGTCATCAACAGCAATGATATAAAAGGATCTTGCCATGTGGTAGTCTGTGTAATTGAGCTAAAATAAACGCGTCATAGTTGGTTACAAATTAAATAGCAGAAGTTCAAGTTTTCAACGTTTTCACGGGATGGAGCCATTAACGATTGCGTGAACGAATACCGGGTAAGTTTTCAAGGGCTGGGCCATTAACTTTGTTGGGTAGCGGAGCGTGATTCATTTTTCGCACATTGCGTGTTTTTATTTTATTTTTTCAAGTTGGAGCTGCTCGTCTGATAATCCCGTGCACATTTTCACGGATATTTATTTTTCTCTTTTATTCAGTGTAAGGGGCCCACTCACAACTACATTATGGCCTTTTCTGATTGGCCGTTATAAGAATGACACAGATCACGTGTTCAGCACGTGACGCTGTATATAAAGGGGAACTTTCCATACCTTGGAGAGTCCATGGAATCATGATGGAACACTATTGGTTATATTTTTTACACTATAAATCAATTTCCTTTTTCTATTTGTTTTTAAATTGTTGCGAAATTGGGCGTATGTCAATATAAAGGAAGGTGGACGTCGCATCGTTTTCGATATGTGTCCCATTGCCGACGTATCCTCGAGGCGGAGCCACGTCACAGAACGTTCTACGTTGCTAAGACGCGCACCACTGTACCATGTATTTTTATCGACTCTGAGCGAGCTGCTGTGGAACGCTGGTTGAAGAGCCGGTGAATACAGCACAAACTCAGCTTTGAAGCAATCCTGAACAACCAAAATTATATATGTTGCACACGCAGGGGGGTAATCTTGTTACACTGTTAAGGGGACTCTCAACAACCATCCTAAAGTACCGTTTTCTGAAAGTTTTCGGCCTTTGTTATCATCGTGATTCATTGTTATTTTAAACGAAAATCGAACGTGTTCTACATTAATACCACCACCGTCGGGTGATAAGCGACATAATTCTTGATCCCGAGACACCAGCTGAATTGAAACGCCCTCAACAATACATTGCAAATACGTTTTGTTTTCGTCCCCCAGCGAGCATATTTTGTAATTTACACGAAACGTGCGCTGTGATGACGACACTGCATCTGTGCTATTTAGGTATTTCGGCAGTTTTATTTCCTTGATAAAAATAAAAACTACATGTTTATTGAACGCGATCCTACTCAGAGTGAATGCCCGTCGTCTGACAACAGTACAAGTTGTGAGTTACTGCGCCCTCGGCGACGGGGTCATAGATTTCGAGTCTGAGGGATTCCATCGACGAGGGCGCACTAAATGATGCCTAAAACGTAACAGTTGCACTGCTGGTATCGTGGAAATCTATATCGTAAATAGCGCAAAGTGTTCAATGTAGCCTGTATATTAATATGTGCTCTGTGATTGGCCACTCTCCACGTCGTCTTATTTGTATACCACGTATCTACCCACGTATATGATACGTATACGATGCATAACTTGATACGTCGAAACGACCTGCCAACAAATAAGCTGCTCTCTGATTGGTCTGACTGTTAGGTGTTAGGGCTGTGAAGCCAATCAGACTCAACGTAGTAAATGGCTTTGCAATGAAATTCCCTTTAATTCAGATACAACCACACTGTCCGTCGTAATACGAACTAGGGCCGAGCTTAGCCAAACCAACTTGAAGTGTGAATGTAGTAAATTATGTAACGGGGCAACGGGTGAGCGTACGAGTATGCAATAACACGAAATTGTACATAAAGCAACGAGTCTCAATGAGGCGTTAACAAGGGGTCAACCATTCAACATGGGAAAGCTATGTCACTGGAAACTACATACTACTTACTTACACAAGTCTTAAATCATAATACAACAGAGAACAAAGAATTCGTTGATAAATACCAACACATCGACTAAGAATTTATGTTATTCATTGTCTAAGACTCTTCAAGCCTGTCAGAAAAACAAGTCTTAACGACAATACTTAATGGCCGAATGCTACGTCCGCGCGTGAACCCGGCCTTCCATACGGAACTAGTGTTATATTTGTACACACACAAAAAAGCAAAACAATTTAGCTGCCATCTGACTACGTTTACTGTATTTAGGCACTGTTTCACAAAAGTGAGCACGCTTTCTGAAATATGAGCGTTTGCGTTAGCAGAATTTGCCCCTCAAAATGCAGGAAATATCGTTTCAGATGGTCTAGATTTCATTTTTTTAAAAGGGAGCATGCCCCTGGACCCCCTAGTCGTGCCTTCAGCGCGAGGGATGATGAGCAGATCTCGCCCCTCCATGCAAAATTTAGTGCCGCCCCCTCTGTCTTAGCAACATAGAACGTTCGAGTTTTGTTACGTAGCTCCGCCCCTGAATATGAATAAAAAACATCGAAGGAGAAGCTCAATAACACATTTACATTTGGAACGTCACGTGATGAAGGCCCTGGTACGTAACGCTAAAGACATCTCAGGCTCAGTACCCGACTGGTATTCATGTCATCCACTCGTATGGATCCCTAGATCTTGAAATATCATATGTATTTGATTTTTTGGTTATTTAAAAAAGAAACAAACCAGGTAAATCAAATCTTGGATTTGTCATTTATTGCGAAATACAAATCTACAAATCTACAAATCTACAAAGCAAGAGTAAAGGACGAGTAGTTGTTTTACCGTGATAAATACTTTCTACACCAGTTACTGTAAATGCATTAATTATTCACTGGGTTTTAATTTCGCTACTTTCGCTGATAATTAAGATCCGCTAAATTAAATCTGTGAAGTGAACATGTAAAATAACAATAAAACTCATTGTGTCCTTGCCAAATTCGTGAAATTAAACACACAGTGAATCTGCTCAAAACATCAAAATTATTAAATCAAATGTCAGTGAAATAAATGGTTTTACACTATTAAGCATGTAGCGATGGCAAATTTTTTAGAATCCTGTAAAAAAAAGTTTTATTTTTGAATTTATTTTCGCTGAAACAATGATTCACAGTGAAACTTGAATTTTTCCTTTTTCTATCTTTCTGTCGTTGAGATATCTTTACTTCATCAAAATAGGTGATTTTCAGTTCCAGTCAAATGCGAGAGATCTTGCGATTTGCGTGAACGACGGTCGCGGAACGTCTACCGTAAAAATCGAACGATTTGATTTTGAACTTGAATTTCTTTATTTCGTAGCTCACATCGAAAGGCCGACCTTTTACAGGGGAATATTGCAGATGCAAAGGCTCATGGGTAGATGTTTGTTTGTAAACAACGACACGCTATGGCCGTTTGCCGCATGCATAGGGGCGATTCCTCCTCTTCAAGAGAAATTTTGATAACAATATTATATATATAAAAGAAATATGTGTCTTTTCCATACTATTTCCCAAACTTTGCAAACAAAGCTCGTTAATAACAATTTATTTTTGCGTTTATGTTATAAATTCACGACAGACTATGACGTGTATAGTAATGGAGGGCATTCACGATG